TCCTCCTCCTCCTCCTCCTCCTCCTCCTCCTCCTCCTCCTCCTCTTCTTCTTCTTCTTCTTCTTCTTCTTCTTCTTCTTCTTCTTCTTCTTCTTCTTCTTATTTATTTATTTATTTTATTTATTTATTTGATTTGCCAATTGTTTACAAGATAATAAGTATAAGTGTATACATAGTTGTGAATACATGAAATGGGTACATATAAGAAAAATAAAAGAATAAGAGAAACAATAGGACAGGGACGGTAGGCACGATGGTGCGCTTATGCACGCCCCCTACAGACCTCTTAGGAAAGGGGTGAGGTCAATAGTAGACAGTCTAAGGTTAAAGTTTTTGGGGTTTGGGGAAGAGACTATAGAGTCGGGTAGAGTATTCCAGACATTGACCACTCTATTGCTGAAGTCGTATTTCCTGCAATCAAGTTTGGTGCGGTTTACTTTGAGTTTGTATCTATTGTGTGCTCTTGTGTTGTTATGGTTGAAGCTGAAGTATTCATTGACAGGTAGGACATTGCAATGTATGATTTTATATACCATGCTTAAATCAGACCGAAGACGGCGTAATTCAAGGTTTTCTAGTTCTAGAATTTCAAGTCTGGTGGCATAAGGTATTCTACAACGAGTAGAAGAGTGGAGAACTCTTCTTGTGAAATATTTCTGGACTTTCTCAATTGTGCTAATATCAGATACGTAATGAGGGTTCCAGACTGATGAACTGTATTCGAGTATTGGTCTAGCAAATGTTTTGTATGCTCTGGTTAGTAGTGTGATATTACCAGAGAAAAAACTACGTAGGATTAGGTTAACAACTCTTAATGCCTTTTTGGCTATGTAGTTGCAGTGGGCTCTAGCACTTAGATCATTAGAGGTGAGTATTCCAAGGTCCTTTACAGAGCTTGGGTCATCAACAAGATCTTGACTATTCAGCTTGTATTTTATTTTCTGATTTTTTTTGCCAATATGTAAGACAGAGCATTTATTTGTTGAGATTTGGAGTTGCCATTTGTTTGACCATTCAGATACATAGTCAAGGTCTTTTTGTAAGGTAGCAGTATTGTCTGTGGTATTGAACAGCTTTACATCATCAGCGAAGAGAACGCAATTGCTCTTAATATGATCACAGAGGTCGTTTATGTAGAGTATGAAGAGAGTTGGTCCTAGAACACTGCCTTGGGGGACACCACTATTGACAGGTACTGGATTTGATAGGACGCTCCCGATTTTGACCATTTGTTGTCTGTTTGACAGGAATGCTTCTATCCAGTTATTCAGTTGTCCAGAGATACCATAGGATTTTATTTTTAGGAGTAGTTTGTCGTGTACCACTGAATCAAAGGCTTTACAGAAGTCTATGTAGATTGCGTCAATTGCTTTGCCCTGGTCGAGTTGTGTCGTCCATATGTTTTTGCAGTGTAAGAGTTGCAGATTACAGGATAGTTTTTTTCTGAAACCAAATTGTTTATTGGAGAGTAGGTTATTTGTCTCTAAGTGGAGGATGATGGATTGGTTAATAATTGATTCCATGACTTTACAGGTGACGCAGCATAAGGAGATTGGCCTGTAATTTTCAACTAGGCTTGGGTCTCCCTTTTTGAAGATGGGGATGACTGTGGCTTGTGACCATCTTCTTCTTCTTCTTCTCCTCCTTCTCCTCCTCCTTCTCCTTCTCCTTCTCCTTCCTCCTCCTCCTCCTCCTCCTCCTCCTCCTCCTCTTCCTCCTCCTCCTCCTCCTCCTCCTCCTCCTCCTCCTCCTCCTCCTCCTCCTCCTCCTCCTCCTCCTCCTCCTCCTCCTCCTCCTCCTCCTCCTCCTCTTCTTCTTCTTCTTCTTCTTCTTCTTCTTCTTCTTCTTCTTCTTCTTCTTCTTCTTCTTCTATCACCTACCATCTACCATCTATCTATTTATCACCTATTAATTATCTATCATCTGTCATCATATCTCTCAATCTCTCTCTCTCAATCTATCTATCTATCTATACCTATCTATCTTTCTATCTATCTATCTATATTCATCATCACCATGGTCATCTATCATCTATCAATCATCTGTATCTATCATTTATTTATTTATCATCTATCATCTGTTATCATCATCTATCTATCTATTTATCTATCTATCTATCTATCTATCTATCTATCTATCTATCTATAATCTATTTAACATCTATCATATTTATACAGCCACTCATTTCACAAGAGTGTGTGACATAAAACAAAACACTCTTTTAATATATAGTTTTGAAATATTAAAATAGAAATCTGCCATAATACAAGGGGTGGAGGTTGGAATCCCAGTTCTTGAACCATACAGCAACGGAAAGAAAGGATAACCACAAGCCTCATAAAATTCCCAGAGAGAGAATAAAAACTGGGAACTGTCTGGTTTGCTTTGTAATATGTTCGTGTGATGATCCTTTTAAGATGTCTTCCAATGCAAGCAATTTATAAACCCATGGACTACAGATTCTTTGTCATTTCAAAAGAGTTGTTTGCTATTGCCCTCATTATATGACTTCTAAAAAAGATACAGGGTTATTTTTCTGCTTTTCCTAAGTGGTTCTTTATTCCAGAGTATTCTTACAGAGTTGGAGGCATTAATACTATTGTCTTCTTCTTTTTCTTTGCCCAATCAAGTATTCTTCGTCCTTCACTTCTCAACACAGACTCTACAAAATAGTTGCATTGCATTGTCTTATTTTTCTTTCTTTTCTTCGTCCACAGCTCTGGTGTGACTTGGACAAACAACTGCCTTTTAAGAATCTAACTTTCAACTCTTCGGTATATTTTACAGATATTTGCTCGTATCCAGAGGTAATCCTAAACATATCATTTTGCATGGAGAAAAAAACAACAACACCATATGTTAGGCTAGGTAATGATGGGTGAGATAACAAACTTTAGGATGATGTGAAACTTCAAAGCAAAGCTTTACTTCAGTGACGCTGTAAACTACAGGTAGTTCTCGACTTACAACAGTTCATTGAGTGACCGTTTGAAGTTACAACGGCACTGAAAAAAAGGGACTTATGACCAGGGTAGGCTTCAAAACATTTAGCCAAGGTTTCTCCGCCCGGGTGCTGGGTGGGCATGGCCATGGTGGGTGTGGCCTAGTCAGCCTCCTGCACCATGGGGGGGGTTGTTTTTGCCCTCCCCGGGCTCCGGAGGCTTTCCTTGAGCCTCCAGGAGGGCGAAAACAACCTCCCCGGGCTCCGGAGGCTCTCTGGAAGCCAGGAACAGGCCCATTTCCAGCCTTCCTGAATTTCCGGGAGGCCCATTTTTCACCCTCCCCAAGCCTCTGTGCACGCCCTGCACTTACCTGCATCTAAAACGGGCCACGTGGGGACTCCTGGGAGGGGAGGGGTGGGTGGGGCCAGCCAGGAGTGGGATTTGAGGCTTCTCTGAACTGCGCAAAATCTTAGCTAGGGGCTCTCCCGAATCCCTGCGAGCTCCCAGCAGCCCATTCCTGCTTATGACCATTTTATCACAACCGTTGCAGCATTCCTACGGTCACCTGATCAAAATTCAGGTGCTTGGCAATAGATTCATATTTATGACGGTTGCAGTGTCCCAGGGGTCACGTGATCACCTTTGTGATTCACTTAACAACCATGTAAAACTCATAAGAAAATATTGGAATGTGCTGAAATGAGCAGATTGACATTTGAAATTAGAGAACAAGAGGATAAACAATTTTATAAAATTTGGGACCTCTTCTATCAATGGTTAGATAATAAAATACAGTAATGAAATATGTAGATTTTTAGAAAATAATAAATATATAAAGAGGTACTTCTTTTTTTATTATATCTACAAAATGTTTTTAGGATAGATTTGGGAGGATAATATGAATTGTTATAAAATAAACTAAGTAAATTATGGTTATCTCGTAAAATATGAATGAATAAAACTATAGTCAAATGATTGATTAATAATGATACCAGGGTATTTAATTTTTGATTGATAATATGAGCTTTTATGTAATGTAACTGTAATTGAAGACTACGAAATGGAGGCACAAAATAATTTGTAAACCAACCGGCACACTGTTTGTATACCTATGGAAGAAAGATTGATGTTTTTATGTTTTGTTTGTTTATGTTTGTTTTTAAAAACCAATAAAATTTACAAAAAAAAAAAAAAGCAACCATGTAAAACTCACTTAAAATGTCTCACTTAACATAAATTTTGGCCTCATAATGGCGATCATAAGTCGAGGACCCCTTGTATCATGTTGCTTCACTTCAAGTGGGTTTGAAAGATCCCTTCCAAACTTTCTCTAAACTCTACCATTTGCATCCTAGTGCTCCCCAATGTTCTGGAGTATGCATGGTCTACTGCCAAGGTATATAAGGAGTATAGTCCAAAACACCAACAGGCAAGAACATGATATTCCAACCTTAAAATGCAGGAATTCTCCTATATAAGAGAGAACATCTACAAAAATCAAATTTTCAGTAATTAATAATCCCATTGTGGTAGAAGGCCTTCTGGCAGTTGACTTTTAGGGCTGATTCACTAACTTCAGCAGATTCGTACATTCTCAACAACTCTCCAAAAGTCTTCAGCTGTCAGCAGACCCAAAGATGCTTTTTCAAGAGGCAACTGGACATTCTGGTTTTTCTTTTAAGATGTTTCACTTCTTATCCAAGAAGCTTCTTCAGCTCTCACTGGATGGTGGGGAAGGGAAGTCAGAGCTGAAGAAGCTTATTGGATGAATACATGAATACATGAAATGGATACATATAAGAAAAATAAAAGAAACAATAGGACAGGGACTGTAGGCACGTTGGTGCGCTTATGCATGCCCCCTACAGACCTCTTAGGAAAAGGGTGAGGTCAACAGTAGAAAGTCTAAGGTTAAAGTTTTTGGGGTTTGGGGAAGAAACCACAGAGTCAGGTAGAGTATTCCAGACACTGACCACTCTGTTGCTGAAGTCGTATTTCCTGCAATCAAGTTTGGTGAGGTTTACCTTGAGCTTGTATCTATTGTGTGCTCTTGTATTGTTATGGTTGAAGCTGAAGTATTCATTGACAGGTAGGACATTGCAATGTATGATTTTATATACCATACTTAGATCGGACTGAAGGCGGCATAGTTCTAGGTTTTCTAGGTCTACAATTTCAAGTCTGGTGGCATAAGGTATTCTACAACGAGTAGAGGAGTGGAGAACTCTTTTTGTGAAATATTTCTGGACTTTCTCAACTGTGTTAATATCAGATACGTAATGTGGGTTCCAGACTGATGAGCTGTAGTCGAGTATTGGTCTGGCAAATGTTTTGTATGCTCTAGTTAATAGTGTGATATTACCAGAGAAAAAGCTACACAGGATTAGGTTAACAATTCTTAATGCCTTTTTGGCTATGTAGTTACAGTGGGCTGTAGCACTTAGGTCATTAGAGATAAGTATTCCAAGGTCCTTGACAGAGCTTGGATTATCAACAAGGTCTTGATTACGCTTGTATTTTATTTTCTGATTTTTTTGCCAATATGTAAGACAGAGCATTTATCTGTTGAGATTTGAAGTTGCCATTTGTTTGACCATTCTGATACATAGTCGAGGTCTTTTTGAAGGGTAGCAGTATTGTCTGTGGTGTTGAATAGCTTTACATCATCAGCAAAGAGAACACAGTTGCTCTTAATATGATCACAGAGGTCATTTATGTAGAGTATGAAGAGAGTTGGTCCTAGAACACTGCCTTGGGGGACACCACTGTTGACAGGTACAGAATTTGATAGGACGTTCCCAATTTTGACCATTTGTTGTCTGTTTGACAGGAATGCTTCTATCCAGTTATGCAGGTGTCCAGAGGTACCATAAGATTTTAGTTTTAGTAGTAGTTTGTTGTGTACCACTGAATCAAAGGCTTTACAGAAGTCTATGTAGATTGCATCTATTGCTTTGCCCTGATCGAGTTGTGGAGTCCATATGTTTTGCAGTGTAAGAGTTGCAGATTACAGGATAATTTTTTTCTGAAACCAAATTGTTTATTAGAGAGTCAGTTGTTTGTCTCTAAGTGGAGGATAATGGATTGGTTAATAATTGATTCCATGACTTTACAGGTGATGCAGCATAAAGAGATTGATCTGTAATTTTCAACTCAGCTGGGGTCTCCCTTTTTGAAGATGGGGTTGACCATGGCTTGTGACCATAGTTTTGGCAAGGAGCTGGTCCTGAAAGATTTTTCAAAGATTATGCTTAGAGGTTCGGCTATGGCAGTGGATAGCTTTTTTAAGAAGTAGGCGCATATTCTGTCCGGTCCAATAGATAGAGATGGTTTTAGATTGTGTAGTGCTTTTTCAACAATGTCTTCTGTAAAATTGATATGTATTAGATCATTGTAGTTGTCTGTGGTTCGACTAGGAAATACTGGGCATGATCCATTGCTGTTTATAAATACTGAGTCAAAGAATGTGTTAAAGAGGTTGGCTTTAATGGTGTCATTGTTGCAGTCTTTACCATTAGGTCCTTTCGGGGTGGGATGGACCTTGAGTCTTTTAGTTTGTTGTTTACAAAATTGTAGAAAGCATGGGTGGAATTGGTGCATAGAAGGTTTTCCTCTTGTTTAATGTGATAATTGGTGCATTCAGTCTTTATCTGGTAGCATAAATTTTTGTATCGGCTTTTGAAATTGGCAACGTGACCAGATTTGTTTTTCCACCAAAGTGATCTCTTTTTGGATTGAAGCTTCCTCATTGTTATGGGTAATCTGTTTTTTCTGGTTTTGGGAGTTGTTATTGGTACATATAGTTTGATGACTCTTTTGATTTCAAGTAAAAATATGTTGTAATGGTCTTCTACGGTATTGCATCCAGTGAATAGAAGTTGCCAATCAAGGGATGAGAAATCATTGTCTATAAGATCATAGTTGCTTTTGAGAAGTGAAATGTCTTCAAAGAAAAACCGGAAAGTCCAGTTGCCTCTTGAAAAAGCATCTTTGGGACAGCCATGACCTGGATGCTGAGAATCTCCACAGACATATATGTCAGCGGAGAAATCCCTCTACATTTTTTTCCTGCAGATTCTCATTTATAGTCTAATGATGTTGATTAAAACTCTCTATTTTAAAAAAGAGATTATGAGGCCCTAGCAAGAATGTAGAGAAGAGCAATGAAGTTGATAAAGGGTCTGGAGGTTAGATCACATGACGAACGGCTAAGGGAACTAGGTATGTTTAGCCACAGTGGTTAGAATGCAATATTGCAGGCTAATTCTGTGGACTGCCGATTGCCAGCAGTTTGGTAGTTCGAATCACCAGACTCAAGGTTGACTCAGCCTTCCATCCTTCCATGATGGGTAAAATGAGGCCCAGATTGTTGGGGGCAAAAGGCTGACTCTGTATACTGCTTATAAAGGGCTGCAAAAGCACTGTGGAGCAGTATATAAAATCTAAATGCTATTGCTAACAAAGAGAAGGCTTAGGAGAGATATAATAGCCATCTTGAAGGACTTGTGATTCTATGTGAGACTTTGAATATATTAGTTTAGGTCACTGAGCTAAAGGCTGATGTTTCTCCCAATTTTTTTTATAAAGTATTTCGTCTTTACCGGTATCCTGGCTATGGTGACCTGTGCCGTGTTTCTCCGTCTCAATTCGGTCCTTAAGTTGGCCGTGCTCCTCATCATGATTGCAATCTACTGCTTCCTGACTGAGACCATTTACTCTTCCCTGTTTCTCCAGTATGATGACATCAATCATAATGGAGAGTAAGTCTTCATTTACATTTGTTTATTCATTAGATTTGTATCTTGCCTTGCCTTGTATCTTGTTTTTATAAATAACTCAAGGAGGTAAACATATCTAATACTGCTTCCTCCTTCTATTTTCCACACAACAACAACCCCTTGAAGCAGGTTGGGCCAAGAGAGAGGGCGACCCAAAGTCATCCAGTGGCTGTCATGCCTCACAATCACCTGATGATTGGCCCAAATCATCCATCTGACTCTCATGTCAAAGATGGAACCCTCCTCCTCCTCCTTTTCCTCCTCCTTCTCCTTCTCCTCCTCCTCCTCCTCCTTTTTCTCCTCCTCCTCCTCCTCCTTCTTTCTCCTTCTCTTCTTTCTCTTTCTCCTTCTCCTCCTTCTCTTTCTCCTTCTCCTCCTTCTCTTTCTACTCCTCTTCCTCCTTCTCCTTCTCCTCCTTCTTCTAATTCTTTTTCATCATCATCATCATCATCATCATTTTAGCCATTGTCTATCCACCGGAGGATGAAGGCCTCTTCCACATATTCCCAACCAATACAGTCCTGGGCTTTCTTTTGTCAATTGGCCCTGCAATACTTGCTGATATCATCAATCCATCTTTTTTTAGGTTTCTTTTATGGACACGTTTTATCAAGTGAGAAAGTTGGAACTAGAACTCACAATCACCTGATGATTGTCCCAGATTCATCCAGCTACCTTTCATGCCTATGGAGGGACTAGACTTCACAGTCTCCTGGTTCTAATCCAGCACCTTTAACCACTAGACCAAACTGCAGCTTAAGGGCATCACTGTTTTTAATTGGACCTCTTTAACAAAAATTTAGCCACCCCGATAGCGGGATGGGTAGCATATACATTTAATAAGTAAATAACAACCCTAAATAGATGTTCCTCTGCTCTGCATCATATGCCTTATATAAAACAATTCCTCAAAGTAAAATGTAACTATCAAAAACAGAGCACAATTTTCCAAATCCCCCAGCCTGTCAGTCATTTTCACGACAGTCGCCTGGCGCAAAATCCCTTCCAGCTTCATCTATTACAGTAACTTTCCAGGGAGGGATAGTGTCTGGCATGCTAGGTTTCTACATGCAGGTTTCTACATAATCTACTCACTCCCAAAATATGCTAAGATGCTGCTGAATATCAGTGTGCAATTATTCCGCAGCCCCCTTCTTATTTCTTCAGAACAATGGAACAAAAATAGCCTCGACTAGCAGAGTGTCCTTACCTGAATCATCTCATCTCTAGACAGGATAATTCTGCAGCGATGCTAGAAATATCTCCTCAGCTGGAAAAAGACGGGTAGAAATGAAAGGGAGAAAACCTTCTAATGGCTTCCCAAAGAGGAAAGCAATAACATGGCTGGTTTGATGTGTCAGTCTTTTTATTCTCAGGTGCTTTTCATTGACTGTCAGGAACATGGAAATGGAGAGAGGGTTTTTTTTTTTAGCATCAGGTGGAAAACCAGGACAGGAACACAGCTTGGACGGGGAGTTCTCATAGAAGGAATGCAACAATTTTTTTTAAAAAAAAAGTATCTGACTTAATTCCAGGTAGAATATTTTGAAGCGAGAAATAGTTGCATCCTAGAATCTTGTGGGTTGGATACATGGAAACTTATCAAGGAAAGAACCAACCTAGAATTAAGGAGAGATTACCTCAGACGTGGAATTCAGCAGGTTCTGACCAGTTCTGGAGAACCAGCAGCGGAAATTTGGAGTAGTTTGGAGAACCAGAAAATACCACCTCTGACAGGCACAGCCCCCATCTATTCTCTGTCATGAGTCCCAGCTAATTGGCTGGGTCTTCTTTGGTTTCCCTGCACAGGAGAATGGAGCTGATAAGCAGGTTTGTGGGGTAGGGAGGGAATGGAGAGTTTACAGTATCCTTCCCCTGCCACGCCTACCAAGCCACACCCACAAGCCACACCACACCAAGCCACGCCCACAGAACCTGTAGTAAAAAAAAATGGTATAGGTTCTCCTGATTGAGCAGGGGGTTGGACTAGAAGATCTTTCAACTCTGTTGTTCTGTTATTCTGATAATAAATGACAGACTCTGAAAGGGAATCAATGCATCCACTTCCTGGTGAATATTCTCCATATCCACTTCTCCATATGCACCCTATACCCTATTCTCTGCATTCATACATGACAAGACCCTAGCAAGGCCTCTGGAGTTTTCCTCCTGACTATCACCTAATAATTTTAGGTAGAATATGAACAAGAAAGTGTGGGATATTTAATACTTGACGGCACATCTTCCAAGGTCTTGAATATCCCAGAGATATTAGGGATAGCAGGTATGTCACAAAAGCTTGGAAAGAAAACTGGCAGGTATTAGGAAAATACTAGTGCATGCTAGGGAAGCTTTTTTTAATCACAGGAGAGTAAAAAGTACCGCAATCTTAAAAAATGAGAGAGAAAGGCCTTATTTTTAGGAAGATGCTCTAGGACAGGGTTCTTCATACTTGACAGATTTAAGACTTCGTGGACTTCAACTCCCAGAATTACGCCCCCAGTCATGTTAGCTCAGGAATACTGGGAGTTGAAGTCTACAAGTCTTAAACTTGCCAAGTTTGAAGACCCTTGTTCTAGGACAGTATGTTTCAAACTTGACAACTTTTAGATGTGTGGAGTTCAACTCCCAGAATTTCCCAGCCAGCATGCTGGCTGGGAAATTCTATGTGCTGAAATGCACACATCTTAAAACTTGCCAGAGTTGAGGAAGAGGAGATTATTTTTGGGTTGACAATAAAGGAAAGGAAATTCATTTGGATGATGTCCAAGTTGTTTAATTAAGCAATAACCCAAATCAGGCCTGTGTGAGGATAAAGCCAGCCCCAGTGCAGACTGGATTATGCAATTTGCAAAGTTTGCTAGCCTTCCTCCATCTTCTTTTGCATGTTGTGCCAAAAAAGTCACGGAATGAAGCACAACTCAAATCAAGCAGCCGTGGTAATTTTATGCACCAAATAATTTTATGCACGTTGCATGCGGTTTTCTTGGGAATGGCATGGAAGTAACTTGGATTTTGCCTTCTTCTGAGCTATTTTTCACTTCCAATCTGCTTTATAACATTGGCATCCCTTGGTGCGATCGCAGCTAAAACATTCTTTGGCTTTTCGCTTGTGGACCCTGGATGTTTATTTATTTACTAGGTTTTTATTTCACCTTTATTACTTTATAAGTAACTCAAGTATACCTAATATTCCTTCATCCTTCTACTTTCCCCATAACAGCATCCCGGTAGGGTGGGTTAGGCTGAGAGAAAGAATGACTAGCTAAAGTCTCTTTCTTGCCTAAGGCGAGACTAGAACTCACAGTCTCCTGATGATTGGCCCAAAGTCACCCAGCTGTCTTTCATGGCTAAGGCAGATCTAGAACTCACAGTCTTTTGAAGGTGGTTGGCCCAAAGTCCCCCAGCCAGCTGGCATGCCTAAGGTAAGACTAGAATTCATAGTCTCCTAGTGATTGGCCCAAAGTCCCCCAGCCAACTTTCATACCTGATGAATTAAACACAAAACAATATAAAACATGTTTTAGTTTAAGCTTTGCTCTTCTTTTCTGGTTTTTTTTTAATCGCCTCCTCCTTTTTGTCTTTTTCTCTTAACAGCACAGATTTCCTAGGGACGAAAGAAGCTTCCTTGCTCCTTATGGCCATGTTTCTGTTAGCTGTGTTTTATCACGGCCAACAGGTAAGGCAAATGTTTCTTTTCCATTTGCACCTTCTCCCAGCAGATCTCCCCTTGCTCTGCTAGAACCTGCCAATCACGGCTCCCCTTTGGAGCAAATAATTAAATATCAGGCTAGAGTATTTTATGACCTTCAATAATTGAAGATCTGATTAACCTTAAAGAAAGGGCCAATTAAAATGAACACACAGCCAGGTCTGTGCAGCTTCCTTTTTTTTATATTGCTGTGAAAATATTATAAATAGAAAACCATTTCAGAATATCTTATCTGTCTCTATTCAATTTGCTCTAGTTGGAAATCCAAAATTAATTCAAAATCCAAGCCAGGACACACACATGCTATGAGAACGACATATTTCCTGTTAGGGATCTGTAGAAAAAGGGTAAAATAAAATAAAATTGCAGAACAGTAATTAGAATAGAATAGAATAGAATAGAATAGAATAGAATAGAATAGAATAGAATAGAATAGAATAGAATAGAATAGAATAGAATAGAATAGAATAGAATTCTTTATTGGCCAAGTGTGATTGGACACACAAGGAATTTGTCTTGGTGTAAATACTCTCACTATACATAAAGAAAAGGTACATTCGTTAAGAATCAAGAATCATAACGTACAACACTTAATGATAGTCATAGGGTACAATCAACAATCAAATCATACTAAGAAAGAGTCAATATAAATCATAAGGATACAAGTGACAAAGTTACAGTCCTACAGTCACAAGTGGGAGGGGATGGGTGATAAGGAGCAATGAGAAGATTAATAGTAATAGTAATGCAGACTTTGTAAATAGTTAGACAGTGTGGAGGGAATTATTTGTTTAGCAGAGTGATGGCATTTGGGAAAAACTGTCCTTGTGCCTAGTTGTTCTGGTGTGCAATGCTCTATAGCATCGTTTTGAGGGAAGGAGTTGAAACAGTTTATGTCTGGGATGTGAGGGGTCTGTAAATATTTTCATAGCCCTCTTTTTAACTCGTGCAGTATACAGGTCCTCAATTGAAGGCAGGTGGGTAGTAATTGTTTTTTCTTATATATGTTTTTTTCTTATATCTTATTACATATGTGATTGGGGTGTCTATAGGGTATAGGTCAAAAAAGTCAAGATGGCAGCCACAATCATGCAGTTAAAAGCTCTGCCCCTTTTTGATTTGCATTGCACTGACTCCCCACAGATACTTCGGATAGAATGATTTCGAATCTGTCCATTTTATACTACAGATTTTCTTTGAAACCATTCTGACCAAGGTTTCCTGAGACCGTAATTAAGCACATGCTTAATCCAAACAACTCTTCTTTTATTTCAATGCTGGGAATTATGTGCATTCTCAGCCCATAATGAGTCCCAAATAGTCCCTCGAGATAAGCACCCAACTTTATCTCCTTTGAATTGCTGCCAATAACTAAAGTGCCAAATTAACTGTGAAAAAAACAACAACTGAAGTACAAAATCCACACAGAGCTTCAAGGTTTAATGCGAACAGAGCAAACGACTTTGCTTCCTGCAAAGGTTTCTCTACCTTTGCACTTCCTTTATACCTTAGGGGAGGGGCAAACACCTCCAAGCCTTACTCCCGAGTCTTAGCTGTTCTTGCCTTAGCTGCTCTTGCCTTGTAGCAGCTCTGTGCACACGCTTACTGGGAACAGGCTCCCCTTGTTCCTCTGCCTCGCTACTGCCAGACTCTGGAGGCTCCGGAGTCAGCACACAACTACCAGATGGTCCTGGCTCCATTCCTGCATCGGACCCAGGACCCTCATCCAAGTCCTCCCGAGACTCATGTTCTTCCCCACTGTCCGAATCTGCTGCCATCTGCACAGGCTGCCAGTGAACCACAACAGAAACTCTTAGAAAATTAGAGAAGTGCAGACTTTCCAGAAATAAATTTTGGGAGCCGTTTTTTTAATTTTTTATGACCCACTCTTGGGCCTTTTTTAATTTAGAAAATTTTAGGTAAAGAACATAGGAGGGATTAAATTCACCCTATTTAGAAGGGGGATATATAGGTAGCCCTCAATTTACTGACTTTCATGTTAATGACTTTCCAGAGTTCTAACAATGCTGGGGAAAAAGTGCCTTATGACGGTTTTTCCTCACAATCATTGCAGGATCTCCATGATCACGTGATCAAAATTTAGTCGCTTGACAACTGGCATGTACTTACAGCAGTTTCAGTGTCCTGGGGTCACGTGATCCCCTTTTGCGCTCTTCTGACAATCAAAGTCAATGGGGAAGCCAGATTCACTTAAAAACCACGTTGCTAACTTAACAACTGCAGTGATTCACTTAATGACAGTGGCTTTAAAGGTCATAAAATGGCGGAAAACTCACTTAATTGTCTTGCTTAGCAATGGAAATGTTGGGCTCAATTGTGGCCATAAGTTGAGGACTAATTGTGTAGATAACCAGTATAGTCCGCAGTGATGCCCGCAGGACAAATGATAGCTTGTGAAGTCATAATGCAAGCTCTACCCTTTCTTCTTAAGCAGTGACGTCACAGGTAAGTATTCAAAGGGTAAAGTTGACACTGTGAGACATATTTTAGCACCTTCCTCCCACTCCACCCTGCTGGTCTCTTGAATATAGGGAGAAGGAATAGCACTTAGACTTAAATACCACCCCATAATGCTTTATAGCCCTCTCTGATTGGCTTACAATGTCAGCAGGGGTGGGCTTCAACATTTTTAGCAAGCGGTTCTCTGCCCAGTTGCTGGGTGGGTGTGGCCATAGTGGGTGTGGCCTAGTCAGCCTCCTGAACCACAGTGGGGGAATTTTGACCTCCCTGGGCTCCGGAGGCTTTCCTCGAGCCTCTGGGATGGTGAAAACGGCCTCCTCAGGCTACAGAGGCTCTCTGGAAGTTGGAAACAGGCCCATTTCCAGCCTTCCCATACTTCTGGGAGGCCTGTTTTTCACCCTCCCTGAGCCTCCATGCACACCCTGCATTTACCTGCATCCAAAACGGGTCACGTGGGGACTCCTGGGGGGGGGGGAAGGGAGGGGTGGGCAGGGCCAGCCAGGTGTGAGATTTGGGGTTTTCCGAAACTGCACAGAATCTTAGCTAGGGGCTCCCCCAACCCCTGCGAACCCCCAGCAGCACACCCCTGAACGTTAGCATATTGCCCCCAATAATCTGAATCCTCATATTACTGACCTCAGAAGGATGGAAGGCTGAGTGAACCTTGGTCAGGATCAAACTGCTGACAGTGAGAGGAGTCAGCCTGCAATACCGCATTCTAACCACTGCATCGCTGCGTATAAAATCTTGGCAGGAATCGAATGGCCAATAACCTACAGTCTCAGCCTAGGCTGAGAACACCTAGTTTCTCTGCTCACATATCCTGCAAGAACCAAACAAAACCTAGTTGACAGTGCTATATTATGACTTGGTTCACCCCACGTGGTTAAGTCACAGCTGGGATCTGACCTGGTTTTGGATGTGAGGCCATCATGAAATCCTCAGGCTCTGGACTAGATTAGGAAATTGGAAAACCTCCCAGTATGGAGAGAAGGATGGCAAATGATTTCCATATCACTGCCAGAAAAATTAGAGGATGGTCTGTGTTAGTGTTGCTCAAAGCTTGACAAAGTTAAGAGGGTAGCTGGGGAATTCTGGGAGTTGAAATCCACCCCTCTTAAAGTTAGGTAAAGGTAAAGGTTCCCCTCGCACATACGTGCTATTTGTTTCCAGCTCTAGGAGGCGGTGCTCATCTCAGTTACAAAGCTGAAGAGCCAGCACTGTCCAAAGACGTCTCCGTGGTCATATGGCCGGCATGACTAAATGCCGAAGATGCACAGAACACTTTTACCTTCCCACCAAAGGTGGTCTCTATTTTTCTACTTGCATTTTTACATGCTTTCGAACTGCTAGGTCGGCAGAAGCTGGGACAAGTAATGGGAGCTCACTCCGTTATGCGGCGCTAGGGATTCGAACCGCCAAACTGCCGACCTTTCTGATCGACAAGCTCAGTGTCTTAGCCAATGAGCCACCATGTCCCTAAAAGCAGCTAGGACAAATAACAGGAGCTCACTCTGTTACAGGGAGCTAAGGATTCGAACTGCCAAACTGCTGACCTTCCTGATTGACAAGCTCAGAGTCTTAGACACTGAGCCATCGTGTCCCCTATCTTAAAGTTAAAGATCTTAAAGATCTCTTAAAGTTGCCAAGGTTGAAAAACGTCAGGCTACGTTGTTACTTGACCCGAGAGAGTCATTTTAAAAACGAGATATTTACTCATATCTTTTCTCCCTATTGTGAAAAAAGAACTGGGAGAAATGGATTTCTCATGAGAGGAACATCAGGTGCAAAAGAGACTATTATTCATGCAGAGATTTATCAGAGCTTTTAGCTACTGAATGTTGCTCTCTATGCTTTCAAAGCATTCTCGGTCCTTTGGGGAGAGAAAAAGTCCTACCCATAATTCACAATGGGGGTTAATAACAAACAACTGTCAGACTTCCCACTCAAGCTGCAATTTTCCCCCCGTAATTTATACAGTCTGGTATTTTTGTTCCTGCTTTGTTTTCAGGTTCATCCTTAATGAGAAATGTTAATTTAATTTGTCTTTAGAAAATCCTGAGATTGGCATTTTTTTACCCCCCATAATGTAATTTCTTCTAGAGGTCTCTTCTCCCATAGTCCTCAATTTATATTTAAAAAATAATAAGGACTGCATTAGGCTCCATTAGCCTTATGGTAAATCAGATACTCTTTGAACAGTCGCGAAATAGAAGCAGTGGCTTTTGAACTTAAATGTGATATGCTTCTAAAATCATTTTGTTGTGCTCTGGTGTCCAGGAACATAATCAAGTTACACTAAAGCAAAAAGGAACTCATAAACCAACAATATTTTTTCCAAACAAACAAGATAAGAAAGTTTAGCTAGCTGGCAGCATCTATTAGACCTTAATGGATCTCAATAGCATAAGAAGGTTTTGATGCGGTCAGTATTTGGACTGTAAACTACATAAAGTAACAAAAGGAGGGGGAAAATCAGAAAAGGATAATGGAAAATCACTTTTGTGTTGCCGAAGACAAAACAACAAGAATGTGTCTATGAAAGTCACCAGAAGTCAACCTCAATCTGAAAGAGATTTCATTTTGTTTAAACTTTGTTTAAACAGCAGATAATGATCTGAAATAGCGTCTGCTAAAATTTTCTTGGCTCTTTAAAGAGAGAAGGTTTTCTTTCCATTTGTTAGACAATTAAAAAAAAATTGCCAAGGGAGAATAAATTATTCAGTGAGAACCTCATAAATAAGGTACTGGTTTTTTTCTCCCCACTTATTCCAGTTATGAACTGGACAAGAAATGTCTGGCAAGCTTTTTCCACTCAGTTTTCATGTGGTATGAAGTCTCCCTGATGTGTGTGTGTGTGTGTGTGTGTGTGTGTGTGTGT